TCTTTCAGATGAATCTAGATAGCTCAGAAATCCAGACAGACAGGAAAACATGAGGTAATAGCGAGGCATCATCCCACTGGTGATGCTGCAAAGATCTCTCGCAGCTGTGACCTGCTCTGTAAGGCCAGCATGTCCTCCAGCTTACAGCCATTACAAGCTTACTCCTTTGTATCCACCCAGTATTACACAGACTGCCCCATGTACTTTAATGATGCACATTTCTCAAGCCCCTGTATGCATTCTTTCCATCCTTCCAAGCATGAATTCTGGAAAAATGGTGCCTCTATCCATATCAAGAACTTCACCTATGCAATGCAACTGAAATGGCGAGTGAAGCAGAGTATTAAACAAGTGATTCATCTCAGAAATAATGGAGAGAGAACCAGCAGGGGGGCACACCTGTAATACTTCAACTACAGCACAGCATTACTCACTAGTGGTAATGCATCACAAAATATCCCTCAGAAGAAGATGGAGAACATGTGTTGAAAACTGGGTGCAGAAAAAAGCTAAGGTGATCAGACCACCCCTATATATGTGGATATATGACTGAAAAAAGTTTGTTGGTTTTTTGTTCGTTTTTCTTTTTTTAAATGAGATAGATTTGAATAAAGTGTTCAAGACAGAATATTGTCTTCAACATGGTTTTAGATTTTAGTCCATAAAGTCTCAAGCTGCATCATGTAGAAATGTAACACATACATCCTACTTGCATATAAAACCAAGTCATGCACCAATTTGTTCTATGCCTGGATTTCGCATGGGCAGAAATATCAGCTTCTTTTCTCTTTAAGCCAAGGACTTATTTAAAAATAATTTTACAACTTTCTGCCATTCAGTAATCACGGGGCATTTCTTCCCAAACTCCCCCTGACTGGAGACTGTCAGACATACTGGTCTGCTTTGACAGCATTACTAGGAAGCCCTTTTGCAGATCTGTACTGTTCTTATCTTAAAAGAAATGAAAAAGAAAAAAGATGGCATTCAAATTAAATTTGCCCACTAATCCAAAAAGAAACAAAAACCAGCTAATGCATTTCTTGTGACCATCTAAGGGAGAAAGAATCTCTTAACTGCTTTAATCCAAAAAAAATAAACATGATTTAAAATGGTCCCATACTACATAGCTTTTTCAAATAATGCTGCAAATTTCCACGGTTTACAGTCATAGATTATCCAAAAAACAAAGTTGGAGGTAGCACAACAGGAAGGAAACGTTGTGAAACAATACAACACTGGAAAGAAATGAAACTGATGACACATAAAACATCGCGCTTCCTTTTTCAATTGCAAGCAGCTCCAGTTATCAGTCACAACGAGAAAGAAGGAAAGCTATCCACTAAAGATGTTACAGCAGTAAAAACAGAAAAACAACCAGAACAAAACAAATAAGAACACCAACCGGTGTAAAGGATGTTTGGACAAAGTACTCTGACACCACTTTCCCACGTGAGTTGAGAGCCTATCTTTTCATCTGCCCTGCATCTCAGAATGTACTTTACATATGAAACATAAAGAAGGCATTATCCTTTTTTATATCTTACAGGAATGGAAAGAAAAAAACCTTAAGTGTATGCAACACAATCCGGAGAGCGAGGATCTAATTAAAGAGGCAATACAAAAAAGTTTATCAAGAGACTCTTCAACAGGAAAATACCAAATTGAATAAGAGGCATACAGATGCACTTAAGAATCCCATAGCCAAATGCCAGCTAGAAATTAATTTTGTAATGCATTTTTTTAACCTTGTTTGAAGCTCTGAAATAAAAAGTCTGGCTTTCTGAATTTCTGAATCAAATTAGTTAGTCTAGATAAAGCCAAGTGTGTTAAGCACAGTTCCAAATATGTGGTTTCAAGGAATGGGGCTGAAGAATGCTTTTCAGGATGCTGTCAATTCAACACTGTGGGGTTTTGGAGAAGAGCTCCTCTACCAAGGTTATCCTTCATTCCTATTGTAAAAAGGGACAGAGAAGTGATACCTCTTGGCTCTAGACATCATCTACCAAGGTCAAAACATCCCCCTCAGTCTCATGCCCAGCCCCACCCAAAGTAAGCAGCAGCATTTTAATGTTGTAGGCTGAGCCGTGTACCACCCTGAAGTTACCTGCTTAGTACTACATGCAAGCATCGTCACCTGGGAGCTCCCAAGGAGAAATGATTTGGGAGGGGAAGAATGTCATTTGTGTAATGGGAGATAAACACATTTATGAGCTACGACTATCTGCACATCAGGCAAGTACTGAATTTTTGGTTTTACTTCATGTTGGTAACCCTAAATCCTACCTAGCATCAGGCCCACCTGGCTACATCACTAACGTGCTGTACATTTGTTTCAGTTCAGCATCTGGTAGAACAGTGATCCCTGACATCACTTTAAATAAGCTGTAGATAAATTCCTCAAATTATAATGACTACAGGAAACCTTAGGTGCTTCTCTGATCTGCCACACAACTCAGCTACTGACTAAGAAAAATGACTGGATTAATATGTAGGTGTAAAGAATAAAGGAAGAGACAAAAACAGCAACTCAGAGTACAAGACCTCAGGAGCAGCAGTGACGGCATTACCTACACCATCTCACCCAGCACAACACGTTTCCAAACATCCTCACAGCTCAGTGACTCAGTTGCTTAGACTGCAGAGTGGCAGGAAAGCAGGCAGCAAGAAACAATGACAGTGATTTCTATGATCTCCAAAACAAATGTAAAGGGAAAGGAACCTCCCATTCCACACAGCCAAATCCATTTCTTTTTTCCCCTCACTTAAGATACTTACACAACGTGCTCGTTTTTAACATGACCCCTCTCCAAATTATAACAGTGCTCCACCTGATCAAAAATGAATGCACTGAGACATTGTGCTCCAACATGGCGTGTTTGTGTGCTTTAATTAAAGTCGCTTTGAGGACTCTAACTCACTTAGAGCCAATAGCTGCAGTATCAAAAAAAATTACAGCTACCAATCCAAAAGATGTGAATAAGTCTAAATGAATGGTACTTTGAGAAACGCTCAGTTTTGATACTCAGCCTTGATGACTAAATAAGCAAATACAAAAATAGCCCCAAATAGAGTCTACTCATTAAAGAGGATGAACAGCACATTCTAGAACATGCAATCTCAATGCTGCTATCATTTTTTTGTGCTTCTACAACAGACAAAACGCCTCCTCTCTTTACAGCTGCCATTTGATGAATCCACATCAACAGAAGCATCCAGAAGTTCCTTTACACCCATCAGTCTTGCATGTATTATCAAATGATAGAGAAATACTTGAATTTCTTTCAACACGCACCTTTAGAAACACAAACACAATCCTCAGCTTTTATCTTCAGTATCCAACAGACACTTTAAAAAAGTGCTAACAGTTCCAGAATCCTTTAGATACCACTGACACTAAGAGATGAGCCATGCAGAATCTGTGTAAATTTTTCACAGTACCATAGGATTAAAATGAGAAGCATGGTAGTAGAACACTACTGCTTTCTATTAGGAGCTTTGAATAATCGAAGATGCACAACAATCGAGACGAGCCACATAAAATTATTCCCAAATTACTTCTTTCCAAGTGCATTTCGACAATAGAGTGTATTAAATTCAACCATAAACACAAAAAAGAAGCCAACAAGATTCAGCAGTAAATTAGTTAGTGTATTTTTACATTTTCACAATCTCTGTGCTGCCTTGCCCCTTCTGATGTCCTACAAAACCTTTAAGATTTTTTCAAATAAGCATCTCAGCATTCCCTCATAGCTCAGTTCATAGATGAGAGAACTTAAGAAGGATCCCAATCAGCTTCTTCAAATGCACTCCTTCCACACTGTTGCCAGAAAGCCCAAAGACTGTGCTAAAGTTAGTTTGGTGGCTCAAATGAGAACAAAAGCAGCCATGCACAGCAACACACAGTCAATGCCATATCACATCTCTGTCACTGTGCTGTGAGCCCTGGGTTTGGATCTGCAGTCATTCTGTGGGCACACAGCAAGCTTGGCTTTTTCAGCCTAAATTTCAGGCAGTCATTTTTCACTCAGAGGGCGGTGAGGCCCTGGCATTGCCCACAGAGCTGTGATACCCCATCCCTGGAGGTGCTCCAGGCCAGGCTGGATGAGGGCAGCCTGAACTGGGGGGACAGCCCTGCCGACGACTGGGGATGGGGCCGGGTGATCTCTTTCAACCAAATCCATTCCATGATGTGGATTGCCCCGTGCAACACAAACCCGGTCTCCAGCTCCTGACCAGTTGCTTCGTGACTTCTTTTGTTCTCGTCGGAGCCACCAAACTAACTCTTTAGCACGCTCACAGCGCGCTTTGCGATCTCAGACATGCGCACTTTAATAGAACCCTCTGAGAGCTGCACTCCTTTAAGTAGGACACCGCAAACTTCCACGGTGAAGCCGGAGACGCGCAGTGCCTGACGAGCTTCACTCACACCCCACAGGACGGAGACGAGTGCGGCAGGTCGGACGGGCACCAGAAGCGCCCGGCAGTGTGACGGCAGAGCCTGCAGACGTGGCACGCCCAGCCGGCACCTTCCTCGGCAGGCTATATCCTCAGCACAGCCGGGCTGCCGCCCCACCGAGTCCCGCACGCGGAGCCAAACCCCAGATCCCCCTCCAGCGGCAAGCCGGACTCACCGCTCTCCCCGCCGGCTACGGCGCTGCCTTGGCGGCGGTGAGGGCACAGGAAGTCGCGGGCCGCCTCCAGATCCTGGAAGCGGCCGAAGGGGACGAGGGCGCACGACATGGTGCCGCCGCGCCGCCCGACCCGGAAGCGGTCGCCGCCTTCCCTCGCAGCCGGAGCCGCGCGGTCCCGCGCAAGGCGCATGCGCGGAACCGAGTGGGGGGGGGGGGGGGGGGGGGGGGGGGGGGGGGCGGCGGGGGGGG